CCCCAAAACCCCAAAACCCCGCTAGACCATATATCTTGAATGATTAAATAATGAAAAATAGATAAGTAAATTAATAGCAAATATTATTAGCAAACTATTTTGATAAATACCTTTTAAATAATAAATTTACCAAAAGCTTAATAATTAGTCTGGGATTAAATTATTATAACTTTCTCTCATCATAAGATGATTGTATAAGATTACATCTAAATTTCTTTTTGAGCATTGAATATTTTACCATTAAATTATCTCATTTCTTTAGTTTAGTTCAAAATTTGTTGATACCAAATTCCATTTATGCTTCATCCATTTCTATATCATTCACTTGAGAAGCAATAAGATCTATCTTCTTTGTAGTTGTCAGTGAGAAAAGATTTTCTAGTTAGTTTTGGTTGAAATGTTGCTATCCTCTTCGAGATTTATATTTTTAAAATTTTACTGAGTTTTTTTCAATTATATTCAAATGAACAGTTTTAAGTTAACTTTACTTTTTCTGATATTGAATGAATTTCTTACTCTTTATATTCTAATTAAAAATACTCATCATTCCAGTTTTCTCTACTTAAGATTTGCGTACTTTAAAGTCTTTAGTTAATAAATCCAACATTTTTCTAACAAATTTTGAAATGGCAATTATGTAAATGTTAACTATAAGAAATAAAACTGTAAGAGCTATTTGTAAATTTCCAATCAGCATTTTAATTTCAAAATCCAGTTCATAGTTGTCTGAGAAAATAATCATACTATACAAAATAACCTAGAATATGATTTCATTGAAAATTTCCAAATAATTAGTCTGCTTGCTTTCAAAAGGCTTAAAATAGGCAATATAAATAATCATCAACATGTTTAAAATTTCCAGAAATATTATTTGCAGTCCTTAGTTGCTTTCAAATAATGAAAAAACTAATGAGTATATTAACCTTCTTGCAATATATAGCGAACCAAAGATATAGCTTCCATCTCGTATATTTTCTATAATCGGAAGAAAACTGGATTTTAACTTATTCTATTGAAATTTGTATACCACATGAGTCAAAAGATAAGATGCTATCGGGAAAAGAATGCATAGTCCAAATAGTTTGATAGACAAAATATAAGCAATTATATCTTCAAAAGATGAAGTTCTCTATAAGTATTAAGAGATTTCATATGATTACCTAATAATTATTGATACTGGAGCATATGACTAGTTCAATCTATGATTCTAACAGAAATCTTGTGATTGAGTTGTAATAAACAAATTAATGTAACTTTTTAGTAAGCATTAATATTTTTCAGCTGCAGGTAATCATTATTAAATCAACTAATTACTTACTTCTTGAATACAATCTTTACTATTTATAAAATATAGGCCAAAAGCATCAAGATCATTAGCAGGCAGTAGAAATAAAATATAAGTCCTAAATTTCTAATAAGATTTTATGAAGTATATCCCATCCTTTCAAAGTATGGATTAAAAGCTTAATCATTTAGATTTTATTGATCATTCTCAAAGATTTTGGAGTTTATTTTTCCTACATCAAAGAATTGAAAACTAGTAATATCCAAAATAAAGCTATAGAAAAGAGCAACATTTGCAGGAATGTTCACAGTCATCAATGGTAGATGAGTTATTAATTAAAAACTATTTATCATTCCCCAAAGCATCTAAATGCTTTAGGACCTAAATAATCATTACAATTGTTGAATTACATTAGAATATTTATTAGGAAATTTGATCCAATCACACTCTATAAAGAAACTGCAGCTGTAACTCCTAAATTATTCATCATGCTTTACAAACTTTGTGACATCTAAGGTGGTATGTAATTTTTAATCTAATAACCTTCTTTCATCATTAATTTCTCAGTATTATCATAGAACTAGAAATACATTTTAAATCTCACAATTAGCAAGTCCCATTCCTAAGGTCATATTAACATGATAATAATTACAGAATATTTTGAAATTTCTTAAGGATTTGTAAAATTAGCCTAGAGAATTAGTTATCTTGATGTAATCGATTCCACTATAAAGCTTTATTATAAGTCTTATTCATTTTTTTATACAAAAATCTCAATTAAATTGTTAAGTTTTTCCTTAAAATCTAGCAATAACTTAAGATTTTGATCAAAAGTAATAGTTATCCTTCCTGAGGTAGATATTTTAGATACTCTAGCCTCAATGTTTCCTTAAATTTAAAACTTCTTAGATTTTTGATAATCTTCCAATAAACTAGATCCTTTGAGAAGTTATTCGTAAAACGAAGAAATATCTGCTTTAATAGTAATTTTGAAACTTGATTCAACATACTTTTTGTTTGCATTATTATCTTCTATCGTAACTATGATTTAATGAATTCCAACCTCAGCTTCGATAGGATTAATTATGATTTTATTATTTGTTGAATCTAGAAACAAACTACTCAATTTAGTTTTCAATTATACTTTATATCGATCTCCTTCGTCATCTATTATCTTTGGCAGATCAATTACTTAACTATCACCAACACTTACTTCTATATTCTATAACGGGATAACAAAGTAAGGTGCTGTATTGCCTTTAGAGAATGGATTAGAGTATGAATATATTTCAAACTCAAATATAGTTTGAATTTTTCCCAAAAGCTCGTTTACTCTATCACTCTAAACTTATACCTCTATGGGTATTTGATGCTTTCCAATTAAGTCAGTCCTGCTTGTATTTATTCCAATCATGAACTAGTCTCATTTGTCTGAAAGTATAACGTCATAATATTTGTCTTATTTGCTAATATTCAGTATAAGGCTCTGCTCATAGCTGCAAAATTGATTTGGTAATAATCTGGCTTTTTGAATTTAGTAATATCTAGGAACAGATGATATCATATGCTTTACAATGGGAGATTAAGCAGGCTCTATAAGTTTATATAGGTCTGCACATATATTTGAGATTTTCAAGATGAATTAATCTGTGATAAGTTACCAATCATTATCGTAATCTGAAATGATGTAGCTTACAGATATATTATATGCTCCAATGAATTTTGATGAATTATGTCTGATCGAAATATTAACTTGCATATCACTATCATTACTTTCTTTGATAAGTTCAACTCCAGGGAGAATTCCAGTAGTTTGATTATCGATGGAAATTCATGTGATATAGTTTCGATTGGTTCCAGCATCACTACACTGACCACTCAGAGTGAAATTAGATTGATATATTTGGCATTGCATGCCAATTAAGCAATCAATAGCTGAGGACAATCTAGCTGGATTTCTTTCTTATTTTACCAGAAGTTAAGACACTAATTTATCGTTTTTGGTCAAATTAATCTGATCTTGCCAGAGACTTACATATGGTAGCATATTCGTAATAGTTATGACTCTAAGAAATTCATTCATATCATTTTAAACTTTGTCGTATGTACTAGTTGAGAGATCAAAATATTATTAAGCTATAATTGTATATCCTTCAGGATGCAATATACATGAATCACTAAGCAAAGATAGATATTCAGTAGCTAAATAATAGTTTAGATAAGCCCTTTATCTGCCAATCTTGTCTATCAAAAATCCAAGATGTATATAACCATTTTTCATATAAAGAGTCTTTATCAGATTAACTCTGATAAAATCAGATTTGGGAGTTGACTAGCATTCAGAAAATTCAAAAAATGAGGTTTGTGATCCACTTAATGGATATGATTTAATAGTTGTGAACACAATTAAAGCATTATTTCCTATCTTTGCCTAGTAAAACAGCGTAATGTCACTTGAACTAGCGAATCTTATTCCTATACAATAAAATGCACCACTCTATTGGTAGGTTGAAGTTACATCTCTATATAAAATTTGTAAGGCACCTGTAGAAGTTTTAATATAAAACATGCCGAATATAGCCATTTCACTCACAGTGCCTTCTAAACAACCAGCTAAATAGTCTAAATTCTACTCGATGATAGGGATAATTGGCTAGTACTATACCAGTTAATTAGTATAAATTCCAGATTAAGTATAAGATGATGCTAAATTATCTTGAAATACTGAGTAGAATAACCCATATCTAAGTTTATCATCTGGCATCAAAACTCCCATTACCTTTGCCATATCATTAGTCTGATCAAATTTAACAGAGCAATAGAATCCTTGCTTTATATTGATATTGTGAATTTAATTGATTTAAGTCAGATCATTACTAATAACATATACCATCCCTTATTGATTTAAATTTGAAAGTAATAGATAAATATCTCCGTTTGATGGTCTAATGGCTAATGTATTAATCATAGATCTTTTTAACATTCCAATATTTTAAATAATGGTTGTTTTATTCACTTAACCCTGCAAATCTAATCTTAGAAGTAAACAACTAACAATGTCGATATTTGCTTAAGTCTCGCTTTAAACTGATTTTATTAATACTATAATGTATTTTCAATTCGTAAAAGCTAAATTTTGCACCTCCCAAATAGGACTATTTATTTATGTCATGATATTATCATAGTCATAAATATTAAGCCAAACGAATCTATTGAAATAATTCTTGTTATTGTAGAGTCCAATAATAGGAGTTTAACCATAATAACCTCCTACTGCAAAATAATCTAATGTAGGTTCATATTCAATGGTGGTGAAACTAGAAGTAGTGGATGAATTATCCAAAATTTCTATTGGTAGCTGATACAAACCAAAACATTCAGGAAGCGCTAGCACAATTCTAAAATAAGTATATAAAGTAAAAGTTAGGAGTTACTTAATATGAATTGAAAGGATAGATAGTAACTATAGCAATATAATAAGAGTTTTTCCTTTTTTAATAAGAGTATCCATCATTAAAATAAAGAATTTACTTGATATAATATTAGACGTAATTTGTCCACTATTTTAAATGTTTCAGATTTACTATGTGAAAATAAAATATAAATTAATTATTTGAAACATTCGCACTATCAAGACAGAAAATTTAAAATGAAAGTGACGGGGTTTTGGGGTTTTGGGGTTTTGGGG